TCCTGTAGGTAGGTGGTCTTTTTCATTTAGGGGGTACTATATTTAGGAGTTCATTGGTATATAGGCATATTAATTCATACACTCATCTTTGTTATCATTCAGTATAGGCCTCTCCTTCCCCTCTCTACCTCTTTTAGTGGGATTTACAGATTTCTGTATTAAGTATTTAAAAAAAATAAAAATATATATTTGGTTTTATGATCAAAAGGGCATGACCCCCTTCTCTGATCGTATCCTCGCTACAACTTGTCCCATGCTTGTACCATTTGTTTTCATTAGGTTCCAACTATATGTTCAGACCTAAAAAGCAGGAGAATTTCATTCAGGTACATTTTCCAGGTTGGCTAGTCAGCATTCCATTTTAGGAATTTTAGGTTTTACTGGCTGTGACGAATTCCCCTTCGCCACTTGTGCCTGGAGAGGACTGCTTGCCCGCCTCTTGCCCTGTGACTATGGCCCCTGGGATGTATTGCCCTTTAAAGACGTGATTTGGGCATAATGGATTTGTGTTGTGATGCTGCTGGCCCTTTAGGAACCATCTGGGGACATACTGTGGAGTTACTGGGTGGCCACCATTTCCTGTATCAGAAGCACATGGTGAGAACAATGGATGGCGGCCATTTTAACTCACAGACACTGTTTGGACTTTTCAACACGGTGCTATCTCGCCAGTATTTGGTGCACAGAGACATCGTGCAGTGGTTTTGGACTATACAGCAGGGGACACATTATACAGTGATTGTTTTTCATTTAGCCTGTATATGTTCTGCAGAATCTGCATTAAACTGTATTTTCCAAAGTACTGAACGGATCTGGGTAAATTTTGGATATGTGGTTCACCCAGATCCCCCGGTTCCAAGGATATTTTTATGGGGTTATTGCATGTTTTGGGGTCCCTGTGTGTTTTATGAAACTGTATTATTTCTGGCTAGCAGATAATTGAGCTTTGTGTATTGTAGAAACTCAATTATCTAGCCTGGCCCAGAGGAGGAGTTTTGTGTTGTATAAATTGTGAGTTCTGTGTGCCAGTAAATCAGTCTTGTTCCAGCATTAAGCCTTGGCTCATGTTTGGGGGATTGGAGAAATACACTCTGGGGATTGCTATAATCACTATACTCCCCAGGGCATGATCACTAAGTTCTGCTAAGAGCTTGTTCCTGCTCTCTGGGGAAAGAGAGGTTCACCCACTGGAAACTAAATCCTGGCCTTGGGTCCAGGGTGGGTGGAGACAGCAGAGACCCCGGCGCAGTTGCATCGCTGGAAGTGGGGTCTGCAGTGCTGATGGTGTCGGTTGGAGTGCTTGGAGTCCTCAGCAAGCGCTAGGAGCATCGATTGGCGGAGGTACTCAGTCGGAGTGCCAGCGTTCCGTCACACTGGTTTATAGGGTCTGGGTGACCAATAGTATTAATGTTTCTGGCATCTTCGCCTTAACGTCAGTGGTCCCGCGAGGCCAACACCCAACCTCCATTCTTGAGGTTATTCATCCCTCGGGCCAACAGATAGCTAGCTGCCTCTCTCTGTTGCATAGAGAGGGCCTCACTTGTCACTTCCAAACTATTTTGTGCTTTACTTGTCACCGAGAGGCTGACACACCGATACAACGTTCAGTGACCACTAAGCCCCTCGCGCCAACTCATAGGTAAAGCCTCTCAAGCCACTTTGCAATTAGCAGGGCCCCATCTGTCACCAATATAATGAATCCTTTCGCCACTAGTTAGCCAATCAGTAAAACTGCTCCTTTTTCTAAATTTCTTTGCTATTTTTCAGTATGTCTCGGATGTCTGAAGAAGCTGACGACTTGTCAATCCCCAATACTCCTGTCAGGTCCATATTACCTACTCGTAAAGGTACTGGTAGCCCTGCATCTATTAGGTCACGGACCATTCCCCGCATTACGGCAGAACTTCGTAAACGCAACATCCCTTTCCCAGCAATGGCCAGGAAAGCAGAACTGAATCGGCTGATGCAAACCATTACAGACAATGCAGACGCTGGTGAAGGAACGAGTGGCTCCTGCAACTCGGATCTCCATGCTATGATATCCTCACTAGTGGCCTCTATGGGAAAGGTTAACGATAGGCTAGATAGAATAGAGGCATGTTGTCATTCCATTCCATCACCTGGGTCCATAGCTACGAAACTTCCAGGTTCATCCCAGTTACCATCTGGTAATAGTGTACCTTCAGGGTTAGGTACCCATGTCACTATCCCTTCCCATATGGTGCCTGCAAATGTCAAAAAAGACATCCTGGAAGCCAAGATGTTAATCTTGTCTCTCTCCTGATTGCCTCCCAGGATATCGTGGAGAATCACCCTTACACATACCGCGATATATCTGTTGCATTGAAAGCTAGGGACCCAAGACTTAGTAAAAAAAAATGTATTCTGGATTTTGTAATTGCCTTTGGGATATATAGAGATGCCATATGCTCAGTTCACCCTCATAGGAGAGAGAAATTCAATCTCTATTTGCACAAGCTGGTGGACGGTGGTACGTCATTCTGTTATTTCCACCAGTCCCTTTCAGCGAAGGCTTCTGTAATTCTTGCCCAGTTCAACATTAAAACTCATTGGAGCCAACTGGACACTGAGCTCTTTAGCAGGCACTTCGCTGGGCTGAGGATGCCTGCTTGTGCAATCTGTACATCCTCTACGCATGACATGGACTATTGTCCAATCTCACCCAATATCACTCCAACTATGGCTTATCCTGGTGCCAAAGCTAAATTTGACAAAATTGGTTAAGGAGAAGCTTGGTCGTTCAATTGTATATTTAGGAAAATTGGAGATTTGTAAAAATTACAATGAAGGCACCTGCGGATATAGTGCCTGCCTCTTGTTACATGTATGTTCCCAATGTTTTAGGGCACATGCAAAGTAAATCTGTAAACGTTGGTTCACTGGCTAGCTCTCTAACTACTCACCCGTCCAAACATTTGGTTAATTTCTTAATTATGGGGTTTCACGCAGGTTTTCGTACTGGTATTATTTATATACCTGCAGGTATTGTAGAATGCAGCAACCTCCAATCAGCTATGGCTGATACTGATGCTGTTGATACACTTTTACATCTAGAACTGGGAGATTGGGTTTTATTAGGACCTTTTAAGGAACCTCCTAACTGGAGGACTAACCCTATTGGTTTGGTCACCAGGAAAAACTCAGCAAAACAAAGAATGATCATAGACATCTCCGCTCCTCACTCCTCAGCAGTCCCTAGCCTTAATTCCTTAATTCCCTCGGAGGAATTTTCACTGCAGTATGCTACTATAGACAATGCCATAGACGCAATTATTACAGTAGGGGTTGGGGCCTGGCTCAGTAAAACAGACATTGTGAATGCTTTCAAATTACTATCCATTCACCCATCTCTATGGCATCTGCACGGTATTAATTAGAAAGGGCCCTACTATTTTTTTCACGAGACTCATCGGTTCTTAAAGCAGTCCTAAAATATTCAACACTTTTGCAGAGATGTTGTGTTGGATTCTATTAAATACTTGCCATTGCCATACATTGATCCACTATCTGGATGTTTTTTTTTTATTCATTGAGAAGAATTCACCCCCCCCCCCTTTCCAGGCAATTTAAAAAGGCAATTAAGTTATTCCAGTCCTTGGGGGTACCAGTCTCTCCCAAAGAAAACAGAGACACCATTATATGTTTCCTGGGTATTTACCTTGATTCAGTTTCCATGGAAGCCAGCTTCCCACTAGACAAGATTGATAATATCCTACATAGCATCAACCAATACATCCAAATTGGTTCATGTAACCGTAAGGAGTTGCAATCTCTGTTGGGCTCCCTGAATTTTGCAATAAGAATCATCCCGCAAGGTAAAGCCTTTATCTCTAGACTCCTCAGCCTACTCCCCGTATTTTCCAATGACAATAGTCGTATCTCCCTCAACCCACAGGCTACCGGTCTTATGTGGCGCAAATTTCTGTTACACTGGAACGGAAAAATTATGTTTCTCACACAGCTATCCGTATACTCCCCCGTCATTTGTACGGATGCTGCAGCTACCACAAGTTTTGCAGCCATATTTGGCAACAAGTGGCTCTGGGGTAGCTGGCCAGAGGAGGTGCAGGATATAGAGGGGTTCTCTAGCACCTAGCAATCATTTTTATTTGGTTTGTTGTCATGTCCCTGGAGTTTTCAATACCGCAGCTGACCAATTGTCTCACTTTCAAAAATCACTGCCTACGGCCTCATGTCTAGCCACATCTTCCCCTCCGGTCCAAGAACTAGTCATGGATTAAGTGACTTGCTGGTTCATAGTCTAGGTTTAACTAGCATGGTCCTATCAACTAACACTCGTCAATCATACAATAGGGCTTTCATTTTATATAAAAAATTAATGACTGAACATAACTTGGATAACATGTTTGACATGACATCTCTGGTAGCATTCGCTACTTTTTGCCACCTTAAGTTAGGACTATCACCTAATACTATCAAGCTAACTGGCATTTAGCACATATGTATTCAACTCGCCCAGACAGTACCAGTTTTTTCCTCATATCCAAACCATACTCAAAGGCATAAACAAAGCCAGCAGTCCTACTCATAAAAGGTTGCCCATTAATAAACAATTGTTTAAAGATATGTCTGAATTGCTAGTTTCAGCTCATTTTGAATACTTCACAAACACAGTCATTAAGGCTGCCATGTACCTGTTTTTTATGGGTTCCTTAGATGACAAGAATTTACCATCAATAGTAAACTTAACTCCCAGATTGCCTTAAGCGCTTCTACCTAGTAAAACACCAGGATCACTACATACTGTCTCTACCCGTTACCAAAGCTAGTCAATTGGGACAGCTAGTCCAGATCCCATATTACCCCACACATAATAGATGGATCCCGGTGAAGGTTTTTGATTCTTATCTCCTTGCACTACCTACACTGTCAGCACAACAATTGCTGTCACTTCACGGGGCGGTCCTTACTTCTTCAAAATTCATGCTGTACGTACGATTATTGATTACAAGACTTGGGTTGAATCCTAGTAAATATTCAGGTCACTCTTTCAAGATAGGGGCTGCTTTTGCTGCATCCAGTCAGGACCAACCAGTCCATGTTATCAAATCATTGGGTCGATGGTAGTCGTCCGCTTTTTCAGTATACACACCTCAACCGGTACAGGAAATGCGGAAGGCTTTTGTAAAAATGTCATCTTAATGTTTTCTCCTTGTATTATCTAATTTGTCTAAATAAATATTCAACGGCATTGTACTCCTTCCTTCTTGCTTTATTTACAGGCCTACCGCATACGTTGGTTTCGGTACACCTCACCCGACTTTTCCTATAACAGGTTACGCCACTTCACAGTATTGTTTTAATTATCTGTCCCTGTGGCTCAGATATATCGACGATTGCTTCTTCATATGGAAAGGAGACCTTGGATCCTTAGAGAGTTTTAAAACTTATCTTAACAACAACCCATATCATCTGAACTTCACTTTTAACCACTCTAAAGAACACATTGAATTTTTAGATCTGGATATCTATATCAAAGAGGGACAAATCAACACCAAGACTTTTAAGAAGAGTGTGGACTGTAATAGTTTTATTCCTTTTAACAGTCATCACAAGTCAACATGGTTAAGAAACATACCTCAGAACCAGTTCAGGAGGGTAAGATTCAACTGCTCGAATAATGAAGTGTGTAAGTCACAAATGGAAGAAATGAAACAGAGATTCCTGAAAAAGGGTTATCCCCCAACGCTATTAGAAGAATCTATGGATATAGCACTTACCACCCCAAGAGAGGATACCTTATGCAATAAACCCAGCACCACAGATGTATCTAATTCAGCACCCACCTTTATCACTAAATATAATCATCAATTTCATACAATACAGTAGACACTAAGGAAGCACTGGGGGATCCTTAAGAATGATCCAACGCTATCTAAATTGCTCCCAACAACAGGGTCATAGAGATATCTTTAAAGGACAAGATAAATCTGTTTCCTTCCTGGATACTCCACTTCCATCTGCCCTTACAACATCAACCACATCGACGACTTTTTTAGATCAGTATTGGCCGACCCCACAAAGAGGCAGTCTAAGGGACAGAGGAAAGTGGGGTTACAAACCAGAAGGGGCCAACAAGAGGAAATAGACAATACCAATAATGACAACAAACATAATAAAATAATAAACCTATCAGTCTTCATACTGTCCAGTGAACATATCTCACTATTAAAGAAAGGCTTATAGTTTGTCCCCACTCCGGGAGCCAATAGATTTGATAAGCTTTTTGGTAGGAAATTAGCTTTATGTGCTTTACACAAATGGAGAGAACACAAACTATGTAAGGAAATAGGCATTTCCTCTGAAGATCATCTCCATTTACAACCCTTAGTGCAACTACTAGATGAACATGAAGACACTCCTTCTCTCACCAACTTGAGACCTCCCAGTTGGTATACTACTAGCTTCAAATAAGTAACTAACGTAGATTTATTTGTCTAAATGACTACAGATAAGATTCTAGAACTATTTATACCTGTTATGGAGAAATATAAATTGTCTCCTAATGAATGAAGATTATTTTTACTAGGGCACCCAACCTGCAACTTATGTTGGCACCGACCACTAAACCTGAAAGTGCTGATTTGGATCAGAATGAAGATTATTTTTACTAGGGCACCCAACCTGCAACTTATGTTGGCACCGACCACTAAACCTGAAAGTGCTGATTTGGATCAAGGTACCATCACTGGCTTCACAAGATGCAAGAAGTGTCTAGCATGTAGAAATAATCCATCATTAGAAGACACAACCACTGGATTTAAATCCCTCACTACTCAAGAGGAATATGATATCAAGACCAACATGGACTGTACTACATCAGGAGTCATCTATTTAATAACATGTCCATGCCCAAAACAATATAGTTGACGTACGAAAAGACCCCTCAAAATACGTATTGCTGAACACATTAGAAATAAGAAGGGACTTCCAATGCATAATCTTTCCAAGAACTTTAAAGAGATACATGGGGGAGACCCCACAGGACTTGCATTTATGCCTATTGAGAAAGTGAATACCCACTGGAGAGGAGGTAGCATTGATAAGGCTCTAGATCAGACAGAAGCGAAGTGGATTTTTAAGTTAGGGACTCAATGTAGATTTTGAGCTTAATGCTTTCCTATAATATATATATATATATATATATATATATATTTATTTTTATATTTTTTTTAATTTTTTTTTCACCTTTATTTATAGTCCCCCCCCCTTTTTTTTTTCATCTTTATTTATAGTTACAGACCACCACCAGGGATTATTTATTTATTATTATTTTGTATATATTAATTATTATTTTTCTCCTGTTTTCTCCTAGAAGGATGGATTCACACTATACCTATATGGTACCTATCTAGTATTGGTTATCCATATGTAGTCAATATACTATTATGATTTTATTCACCTATCTTCATGTATATATACCAATTCATGTTTCTCTAATTGATTCATTATATATGTTCCTTCCATTTGGAACATCCATATATTGCTTTTATGTATTTTTGCATTTACCGGTCTTATGTATTTGTCTACATTTTATGAGACTTTATAAATATTGTTTTTACCCTAGTGGCAATGATTTGCATTTTATATATATATGTATGTATCATTTTATGCAGGTACAAATACTATTTTTATTAGTATAGAATATATTGGTTTTAACACCTAAATGTATGATTGATAATTAGGCAATGTATATAAAGAAGAACTGAAGCACTAGACACTATTATTTCTCTGAAGTAGGGCCCATTCCCTACGAAACGCGTAAGACAGGCATTCCAGCAACACACGGGATCAGACGCATGTACCAGCAGCACCACTAATCTCCACACGCAGGACCTGTTTGGAAAATACCGCCACAGGAGGCATCTGTCCTGCACGTCCCCTGAAGTGAGGCTCCTGCTCGGGACGTGCTCACAGACACAAGCCATCCTCACCAGCAGCTGTATATTGAATCATCACAATCCGTATCCATCCTTAACAATCCGAAGGTCCTTGCTGTTATTTTTCAATGCATCAGTCTTGTAATGCATTTCTGAATCTAGTGTGACCTGTATTTTTATATTTAACTTTTTCCAAAGTTATTTTAATATATTCAATAAACTGGCATTTTTTTCTCATATGAAGTGATCCAGTTTTATGCTTCAGTTTTCCAGCGATATATTGTTTTCATTTTTATTGCCTAAAGCTAACAGTTCCTTGTACTGTATAGCTTATTTTTTTACTTCTATCTTTTACTAAGTATATTATTTGCAACAGGTATCATTTATCCCTCATGTTGTTTGGGATATAGACACCAGTTTCATACATATTTTTTGGTCATCCAGCAGAGAATTTGGTCTCTCATCTTTCCCCTTTTTGTATTTTTGTATTTATTTATTTATTTATTTATTTATATATATATACGTTTTTTTTTTATTTATCACCCACCCCCCCTATATAGCACTGCTTTGCATGTTTGCACATTCTTAAAGGACATTTAAAGGTATAGCAGCATTCTCTTTGTATTTTTGCATATTTAAAGGGATATCCCGTTTATTTGAGATCTCCACTCATAGCACCTTTATTCACATTTTTGCACATTTATAGGGATACTTTGTCCATTCCAGATTTAAAGGCATAGTACCATATATATATATATATATATATTTATATTTTTATTCTCTATGTAGTAGTATTTTAGCAATTAGTCACCTAGCCAGCTCCTGGTATTCCCACTCTTCTAGAGAGTTCTTTTCCATTGTTTTAATTATATTGATGGTTGCCCCGAGCACAAATGTTAAGGCTTTGCCCTGAGTTGTGGGAGGGCCTTATGGGAGTCCCCCTTTGTCTACCCTACCGTAATTGGTCTGGCGATCTGCATGCCACTCCCTCTATTCAATAATATTCTACTTGAGTGGGCCCACTTTATTTAAAGGCCAACTGCATACGTCGGTTTCGACACCTCAACCGGCTTTACCAATAACAGGTTCAGCCACTACACAGTATTGCTTTAATCATATCAATGGTTGCCCAGAGTGTATATATATATATATATATATATATATATATATATATATATATATATATATATATATATATATATATATATATATATATATATATATAATTTTGCGACTGCTCTCCGGTCTTAAAACTTCAATGTTTTATTTCACAAGGTTTAACATCAAACCTTTCAGCCATTCGGGGCTTTCTTCAGGATCAAACAAACAATTATTTTCAAAATACACACAAATGAAATATATACATACATGCATAATCATGTAAACTCACCCAAGGTGTTGTGCACCCATCACCAGCATCCCGAAGTAAAAAATGGCGCATGCTTCGCCCCCACCAATGAAGTTGTGCGTGTCTCCGTAAGGAGATCACAGATTTAAGGGTACTGGGAACTAGCGAGCCTACATTAATCCATAGAACAAAAACTGGTCCCTAGAGGGCTAAGACCAGAGATATCTATACCAGTCAAAGTAAGCACTGATGAGAAAATTGAAAAGTGGAATACTACTCTATCAGTTTGTTCCTTCAGACTGAAGCAATTTTTAATCGAATTGGAACAAGAACATTTTAATCAAGTAAACCAAAACTTACACTTCAATAAAGTAAAAATATTTTAAAACAATTCAGAATATCCTTTGATAGAAACTAAATTACAGAAAAACCTTGATATTTTCAAAAACCACATAAAGGGAAAAAAAAATCACACGTTTCTAAGGGACCATAGAGATTTTAAGAAAGACAATATCTTCCATGAAAAAAAATGGATCAGACTCAAGTCACACACCACGCAGAAGTGGTTCTTGGTCCTCATCATGCTCCCAACAACAGGGTCATAGAGATATCTTTAAAGGACAAGATAAATCTGTTTCCTTCCTGGATACTCCACTTCCATCTGCCCTTACAACATCAACCACATCGACGACTTTTTTAGATCAGTATTGGCCGACCCCACAAAGAGGCAGTCTAAGGGACAGAGGAAAGTGGGGTTACAAACCAGAAGGGGCCAACAAGAGGAAATAGACAATACCAATAATGACAACAAACATAATAAAATAATAAACCTATCAGTCTTCATACTGTCCAGTGAACATATCTCACTATTAAAGAAAGGCTTATAGTTTGTCCCCACTCCGGGAGCCAATAGATTTGATAAGCTTTTTGGTAGGAAATTAGCTTTATGTGCTTTACACAAATGGAGAGAACACAAACTATGTAAGGAAATAGGCATTTCCTCTGAAGATCATCTCCATTTACAACCCTTAGTGCAACTACTAGATGAACATGAAGACACTCCTTCTCTCACCAACTTGAGACCTCCCAGTTGGTATACTACTAGCT